CCATCTGTACTCTCTGTAGTGTATCCCCACGCATTTGCAGCAAAATCAGCACACGGGCCCTTCTCACATCCGCCCATCACCCCCTCTCTCCTACGTGGCCAGGCCACATTCCCACTCAACTCACCCCAGCATCCCTTCCCCAGTGCCTCCGACCAACGGTCATCATTCTCACGCAGCAGCTCCCCTTCCCCACCCCTCCCTGTACCTTACCCTATCCTTGCTCCCCCTTTCCCCGCTTCCTCCTGTCCTTCTCTTTCTTATTCGTCCCCACTGCCCTTACCTCACCCCATCCCCTTTGTCCCCCTCCCAACGTTCCTCCGGCTTCCCACTTCCCTCCTTCCCTGTCTTCCCCTCTCCCCGTCCTGCTCTCCCACTACACGCTTGGCGATAAACCGACAACTCATGCCGCTGCCGAGGCCGGACGAGGTGCAGCCGAGGTGAACCGAGGCGAGCCGAGATAGCGGAGGCCGGCCGAGGTGGAGCCAAGGTGCAGCCGAGGTGCCCGAGGCGGCCGATGGCTAGCCGAGCCGAGCTGAGCCGAGCTTTGGAAATTGCCCTTTTAACTTATGTCGGTGAAAATTCCTTGGATGTTTTACGACCAGTTGATTTTTTACTTCCGAGGATGGATGTCAATGTACCAATATTCCAAGCAGCCGAATTGAATAGCCAGCCCAAACAAATTGAATCAAGAGGAAATCTACTTCGGGCTTGGAAGAGTTCATTACGATACTTGGACAAGTTCTGGATCTTTTGGCCTAAAGAATATCTTGTCAGTTTAAAAGAACGTTATCAGTAGAATCGTCCAGGCATACGAACGCGACAAGCTAATACACCTAAGGTGAAGAATTGTGCATGTTTATGACAAAAATTCTCCACGAGGATGTTGGCAATTAGGGAAAATAATCGAAGTTGAAACCGGTACAGGTAATGTTGTAAGATCTGCAATTATCATAACGACAGCAGGTGAAATCAAGCGCCCTTAATCAACCACTTATATCCTCTCGAAATAACCAATCATGAATACGACAATAAAGTGAAAGCCAGTGACAGTATGTTGCAGTACAAACCAACGTCAGTCGCATGCATATTTTTCCTGATGTCAGTCATCGTTGGAATGGTACCGGCTCAAAGTCTCTAGAGCAATTTGAATCAAGATGCTTATGTCTGCGAGCTGAGGGCAAAAATCGATTGTTTATGCAGCAGCCACGACACTGAAGAATTTCGATCTGAACTTCGTCTATACATCCAAATTTGGAAGTTTTTTATACAGAGTCTCCACGGAGAAATCAGCGAACACTGTCAAAACAGAGCGAAGAAGTTTGGAGCTAAAGGTAACAGGACTACGGTTGCAAGAAGAATCGATGAAACAATTTGTGTGGTTAGGCAAACCAAGCGGGGTAGATGCTGCAGTTGTCCAGCCGATGCTTATCCAACTCGCATGTGCGAAACAATCCTTAGATCAATGACAGCCATTATCAAATGCCAACCAACTGTTAACAATCAAGTACGTGAAGTACGAGGTACT